CCCAGCCCCCCCACCTGAAGGCCGTCAGATACTCCACATCCCCAATGGGGGGGTCGACGCCGCCCGTCCAGGCGATGTTGATGTTGTAACCCACGCCCAGCCCGCTGCCCACCTGGGGGGACACAGGTGACCCCAGAGTGACCCTCTGAGAGGTCACGGGGAGACCCCCACCCCCAAAATTTCCCCCTCAGTACCTCCTCGGGGGCACCACTGCCCGGGAAGAAGTTCCCATCGTCGTAGCGGTGCAGGGAGATGTAGAGCACGTGCGGGTCGCTGTAAAACGCCTGCTGCGTCCCGTTGCCGTGGTGGATGTCCTGGAGGACACCCGTGACGTCAGGGACACCCCAAGGCCACTCGAGGTGTCCCCAAGGCTGGTGGGGGTCCCTCCTGTCCCCCCTTACCCAGTCCACGATGAGGATCCGGCCCACGCTGAGCCGCTGCTGCAGCAGCTTGGCCGAGATGGCCACCGAGTTGAAGAAGCAGAAGCCCCTGGGGATGAGGGGACAAGGGACAAGGGGACATCAGCGAGGGGTGGCCCTGGGTGGGGGTCCCAGCCCTGTCCCTGTACTCACATGGCCGTGGACTCCTCGGCATGGTGGCCTGGGGGGCGGATGACAGCGAAGCCGTTCTGGGGACAGAGAGGGACATGGTGGGGACATGAGGGGACACAGTGGGTACATGAAGGGACACATGTGGGACATGAGGGGACACAGTGGGACAGAAAGAGGGACACGGTGGGGACGTGAGGGGACACGGTGGGGACATGAGGGGACACAGTGGGACAGAAAGAGGGACACGGTGGGGACGTGAGGGGACACAGTGGGGACATGAGGGGACATGTGTGGGACACAAAGGGACGTGTGTGGGACAGAGAGGTGTACGTATGAGGCACAGAGGGACACGAAGAGACACATGTAGGACACAGTGGGACATGTGTGGGACACGGACACAGTGGGACACGAAGGGACACAGAGGGACACGCATGGGACACAGAGGGACACAGTG